GGCAGGAGGATCGCTGTGAGTTCAAGACCAGCCTGGGCTACATAATGAGTTCCAGGTCAGTCTTAACTACATAGTGGAGACCCTGGGCCAGGGATTTAGCTCAGTGGTTATGCCCCTTGCCTTGCAAGTGCAAGGTCCCGAGCTCAATCCCCGGTACCAAAAAAACAACAAACAACAACAACAACAGCAAAAAAAAAAAACAGTGAGACCCTGTCTCAAAAAAATAAATAAATAAAAAGGGCTGAGGAATGTGGCTCGGTGTTCCCCGGATTCAATCCCAGTACCGCAAATAAATACATACATAAATAAAATAAAGAAGCATATACTTAAAAAAAAATAATAATGCTATGGTGCCAAGTACAAACAAACCGGATGACTCCGGGTTTCATTTAGTTCTGCAAACCACAACCTCCTTCCCGCCCACCTCGAGAGCAAGGGCCAGCTGTGGTCCCGGATTTATTGCGTCACAAGATTGCGCGAGATTGAACCTTCGGCGATCACGTGAGTAAAATGGGCGGGGCATTCAGTTAATATCCCAGCATTCTTTGTACCTACTTCCTTTCTGTCTCTTCCCGGCGTCCAATATGTCGAAGCGAGGTGAGGTTTGTTTCTGGAGAATCCTTCGCCATCTGTGTCGCGGGAGTTGTCGTCCTTCTCGGGAGCGGCGGCACTGTGCAGCTGGGGCGGTTTGCTCGCCTTTTGGACAAAGAGGGGGAGGAAGAGCACCATGAGGGCTCTGGAAGGGCTCCGAAAGTGGCGGGTAGGGGAGCTGGAGCGTTGAGCTGGCAGGGTCCGGACGCGATCGTAGAGCGGTCCGGGTGAGGTCGGTTCGTGCACGCTCCTGTAGTAGTGGAGTCACAGTTGTTTCGGTTTAGAGCGCAGTTTGGGCGACCGGTGTGGTCCCGCTTTGCCGGAGGACCTGAGAGTTGGAGAAGTTGGAGCGAAGATAGAATGCACCGGGCCTCTGAATGTCGACCTGAGGATGGCTCTTGTGTAGACTCAGCTGTCTTGCCTGAGAACCGAGTGACACACGGGGAGGGCTCGAGCGGACTCCTGCAGAAAGCGGATTACTAGGAGACAAGTTTGTAAATGGCTGAACCGTGTCTCGACTGTGATCCCTTAACCCTTGTAACTTCCTTCCCACAGGACGTGGTGGGTCCTCCGGTGCTAAGTTCCGGATCTCCTTGGGTCTGCCCGTGGGAGCTGTGATCAATTGTGCTGACAACACGGGTGAGGCCCCGGCTGCGCCTGCTCCACTCACCCCCTTTAAAAGCACTCGCTGGGCCTGTTGGTAATGACCCATTGAGCCGTCAAGAAGGGGCAGAGTACAAACACCGCTTTTGGGTGAAGCGGCAGCGTGCTGTGTTGTTTTGCTTCAATCGGTGGTGTGACAAGATGTTCCCTGCCGGGGACTGACTGCTTGGGCAGGGAGCGGAAGAAGAGGCTTTGGAAATTTTGGGAAGCGTCCATTGGGCTAAGTGTCTAATAGGCCCTCAAACTATTTCTTGGGCCGGGGATTTAGCTCAGTGGTTCCGCCTGCCTCGCAAGCGCAAGGTCCTGAGTGCCATCTCCGGTACCCCCACCAAAAAAAACTTTCTCTTTGGTTTGCATCCTCATAGGAGCCAAAAATCTGTATATCATCTCTGTGAAGGGGATCAAGGGTCGACTGAACAGACTTCCCGCTGCTGGTGTAGGTGACATGGTGATGGCCACAGTCAAGAAGGGCAAACCTGAGCTCAGAAAGAAGGGTGAGTATCACAGAGGTCACCTCATCTTAGCCGTGTGATCCAGGATCGTCTCCGGTCATTGGAGTATGGAACATTAATTTTCCAGTCCTCAAGGGCTCTAAAATGCTTGCTTTCTCTTGAGAGGCTGTGAGATAGATGCCTGAAATTTTTGTGAGTTCTTTGGTGTCAACCGAGGAACTACAGTATTTTAACTTTTTTTTTTTTTTTTTTTTTTTTTTTTTTTTTTTTA